AACAAATTTTAAAAGATAATATGAAGTATCTTTTCTGACCACAGCATTATAAAACTAGAAATCAGGCCAGGTACAGTGGCTGACGCCTCTAATCCCAGCACTTTGTGAAGCCAAGGTGGGCAGGTTGCTTGAGCCCAGGAGTTTGAGACCAGCATGCGCAACATAATGAAAGCCATCTCTACTAAAAACACACAAAAAAACCATTTACCCAGGCACAGTGGCACATGCCTGTAGTCCCAGCTACTTGGGAGGCCGAGGTGAAAGGATTACTTGAGCCCAGGAGGCAGAGTTTACAGTGAGCCATGATCACGCCTCCACACTGGAGCCTGGGACACAAAGCAAGATCTTGTCTCAAAGAAAAACAAAAGAAAAATAACTAGAAATCACAAGAAAAACTGACGACTTCACAAATCACAGAAACAACATGCTCCTAACAACCAATTTATGCACCTACAACAGCCAACTGGTTTTTTAAGATGTCAAGAACATATATTGGGAAAAAAGACAGTCTCTTCAACAAGTGGTAGTAGGAAAACTGGATACTCACATGTAGAAAAATGAAATTAGACCCCTCCCTCTCACCATATACAAAAATCAACTCAAAATAAAGATTTAAAATGTAAAACTTCAAACTATGTAATTACTAGAAGAAAACAAAAGGGAAATTATTCTCAACACTGAGCTGAGAAAGGATTTTAAAAATAAGACCCCAAAAGCACAGACAAAATAAATAAGATTACATCAAACTAAAAACGTTTGCACCTTAAAGAAAACTATTAACAGAGTGAAAACAGCTACAGAATGGAAGAAAATATTTGCAATCTATACATGTGACAAAGGGATAAAATCCAAAATATAAAAGAAACAACGCAACAGTAAAAATAACCTTTTAAAAAAAAAAAAAGAAAAAGGATGGGGTTTCACCATGATGGCCAGGCTGGTCTTGAACACCTGACCTCAGGTGATCCACCCACCCTGGCCTCCCAAAGTGCTAGGATTACAGGTGTGAGCCATCGCGCCCTGCAACTTGATTTTTTAAATGGGAAAAAGACCTTAATTGACACGTCTCAAAAGAAAACATACAAATGACCAATAGGTACATTTAAAAAAATGCTTAACATCACTAATCTTCAGGGAAATGCAAATCAAAACCACAATGAGATACACCTCACTCCAGTTAAAATGGCTATTGCCAAAATGACAAAAGAAAATAAGTATTGACACAGATACGGAGGAAAGGGAGCACTCACACATTGTTGGTATGATTGTAAACTAGTACAGTCATTATGGAAAACAGCATGGAAGTTCCTAAACAATTAAAAATAGAATTTCATATGATCCAGCAATCCCACTACTGGGTATGTATCCAAAGGAAATAAAATCAGTATGTTGAAGAAATCTGCACTCCCATGTTTATTTCAGCACTACTCACAATGGGCAACCTAAGCAGACAATGGATGAATAAAGAAAATGTGATATATAAACATAATGGAATAATAGCCATAAAAAAATAAATAAACTCCTGTGAATTGTGAATGGATAAACCTGTAGGACATCGTGTCAAATGAAATAAACCAGACACAGAAAGACAAATACCACATGATGTAACTCACATGCAGAATATTTTTCTATTATAAAAAAGTTGATATAGATAAGGCAGAGATTAGAATACTGGTTACCAGAGACTGGGAAGAGCAGGGGAGAAGGAAGGATGGAGAGAGGTTAATCACCAGATACCAAGGTATAATTAGATAGGAAGAATAAATTCTGGTGTTTTGTTGCATAGCAGGGTGACTATGGTTAGCAGACATTCCATATTACAAAATAACTAGAAGAGAGGCTTTTGAATGTTTTAACCCACAAGCAAATGAATATGTGAGGTGAAGGATACACTATTCTGACTGGATAATTGTACAACATAAATATCAAAACAGCAAATAGTATTTCATAAATATGTGCAATTACAATGTGTCAATTAAATTTTTTAAAACAATTAAAAAGTTATTAGACCAGCTGTTGGATCTGGTTAACGTGCTTAAGAAGCATATGTATAACATTCTATCACACATTTGATTTCAAATTTTTTTGACTTAAAAACAAAAATCCCCAAAAAGTGCTGATACTTTTGTGCCTCCCAACTTGACTTACAGCCTGTTTTTGAAAGCCTCACTTCTACAGGGAAGGGTAACACATCCATTATTCCAAGTCACCCCTGAACCCAATAAAATGAACTACAATTACTATGGTTATGCTCATTTACCCTGCCAACAAGACCATCAATTTGTCCCAATTTTGGCAGTCATAGCCTTCATAAAATACATTAATGTCTTTGCTCATTACTCAAGATGGAAAATTAGAAAAAGATCACATGGTATTTTATTTCATCAGTGAAAACAATTAAGGCACTATGAGGTTTAAAAACTAAGCAGCCTTGGTGGGGCATGGTGGCTCATGCCTCCCAGTACTTTGGGAAGCCGAGGCGGGTGGATCATGAGGTCAAGAGATCAAGTCCATCCTGGCAACATGAAGCCCCGCCTCTACTAAAAATACAAAAATTAGCTGGGCATGGTGGCACGTGCCTGTAGTTCCAGCTACTTGGGAGGCTGAGGCAGGAAATCGCTTGAACCTGGGAGGCAGAGGTTGCAGTGAGCAGAGATTGCGCCACTGCACTCCAGCCCGGCAACAGAGCGAGACACTGTCTCTCAAAAAAAAAAAAAAAAAAAAATGCTCCCAGCTAAGCAGTTTTGAAAACGTATGTATGTTCTAATAATGTCCAGTGACCTCCCCTACCCACCCTCATCATTTTCTGAGACAGCCAGACATGGACATGCCCTCCCCCGACCACATCCTACCATATCGTGTCCTCCCAAGTACAGTAACTTTGATGTAGCTCCTCTTCCATTTCATCATTTACCACTCACATCTATGTTTATTCAACAGAAAGTATTTCTCACATTTAAATATATCATCTCTTAATATCTTCCTATTTCCAAGTGTTTCTTTTTTGTTTTTTGTTTTTGAGATGGAGTTTTGCTCTTGTTGCCAGGGCTGGAGTGCAATGGCATGAACTCCCCTCACTGTAACCTCCGCCTCCTGGGTTCAAGCAATTCATCTGCCTCAGCCTCCCAAGTAGCTAGGATTACAGGCACAAGCCACCACGCTTGGCTATATTTTATCTAAATAAAACATCTCTTAGTTTCTTCTATAAATAGAAGTATTTACTAAGGCGCTAGGCTTCTGTGCTTTCAATTTTAGAGGCCCAAAGTGGTTTGAATACCAGGTATTAATTACAAAAAAAAAAGAAGTACACCTGTACCTCTTTAGTAACAGTAAAGGAAAAGAATAGTAAAGGAAAGAAAAGGTACACCTGTATCTTTTTTTTTGTAATTAATAATAAAGGAAAAGAAAACCAAATGGTTTTCGGGCATAATTAAACATAAAGAATCAGTACTTACGAACCATTAAAGTTACAAATCTGTCAAGATGTATTTTAGAACTCTACTGCCAGGAGTGCTAATTAAAGCTATTTTTCTCAAGCACCACTCAATATAAAAGTGTTTTTCTCATGTCTTTTTTTTTTTTTTTGTACACAGGTACTGCAACATTGGTTAGTATGACCTCTCATTGCACAATGTCTCATTTTAATTCTATAGTATTTCAGCAGCATTGTAGGTTAAATTGGATCTTTGGGCTAATCCAAACTGTGATTATAAACTTCTATATTGCATAACTCGAATTGCCTGAAAGGCAAATCATTCTATACTATATTCCCAGCTTTTAATTTAAAACATTCAAGAAAATACTTCATCTTGGTTTTTAAAACACCTGAAAACATTTTTATTAAGGTCAAAGACCATTTTCATGAAGTGAGCAAGCATGGCACACACAGCACAGGCAGAATTCACAATCGCAGCCGGTGCTGGGGCCCTGATAGTTGGTTTCATAGACTTTTGAGGAAGAAACTTTAAGACAGTGACTCTTTCTATTCTGTAACATAAATAGCACCATGTGTCTTGTTTTCTAACAGGAACTTTTTTTAAAATTTCATAAATTTGTATTCAGCTAAAAGAGGTTGAATATAAAATTCCAAGGTTTCCCAAGTCATCTCGCAAGTAGATAACCTTGATATAGTAGTTCCTCACATCTAAGCTCACCACTCACATCCAAGTTAATTCAACAACGGGGACTATTTCTGGAGTTTAGACTTGAAAATAAGACTATATTGTAAGATGGTCTTTACAAGATAACTGTAAGTCTATAAGACTATTTGACTAAGACGTGAAAATAGATTAAGTATTTGTTATAAACTACAGCATTATAACTTTAGGTAACTAAAATTTTAAGTCAATAAAAGGCAAATGTACTCAAACCGCTTGATGTAGCTAACCATCGCAAAACTGTGATCCAATATTCTAGGGTCAATATCAAAAATCAAAAGTTTCGAGACTGAGCCTGAAGAAGTCTTGATTCTAGACAACGGCAAGAAAGGTGAGGGTAGAAAAAAATCCAGAATCACTCCCAACGCTCTGGGGTTACATTTTCAAGTCAGCAAAATGAGTGTTGTATTCAGAACTCGTGTGTAGGCGTATCTGTAAAATGTTTAAAGTTTCAGTGAAACTTCAAAGTTGATGGAGTAAAACATTTTCCACTTGGAGTGGCGGAGTAATTGACCTTCTCACGTTTGTAAATTACCTTCCCTTTGGGGCTCCAGATTTTCTGCCGAGACGCTGAGCAAAAGCTCAGTGTGACGTTTGCCCGGAGACGGTCCCGGAGGCGGGAGAAAGCGTGGTGGCCAGAGGACCCCTGGGGGTTCTGGGGTGGGGCGAGGGGCGTGAGTTCCCGGCTGGGAAGCTGGAGGCGGCGACCTGGGGACTCGGGAACCTGTCCCGGCAGCGTGGAGAGCGGGGGAGGGGAGGAGAGAGGAGGGTGGAGGAAGAGCGCGCGGGTGCGGGCCTCGGGCCGGGGAGAGGGAGGCGAAGGCGCGGATGCCCGGCACTCACCCGCCGGGCGCTCGGGCAGAATGGGCCGCCACCGCAGGGCTCGCTCGCTCAGCACCACGTCACAGCTGCCCCTCCCGATCTCGAAGATGCCCCGGAGCAGAATCCGCTCCGCTGCCTCCTCCGTCTGCTGCGGGGACGTTAACGGCGCGGAAGGTACAGCGGCAGCCTCCGGGGGCGCCTCTTCCTCCTGGCCGCCCTCCAGGGCACTCACCCGGCTCCTGCGCCTCCTCCATGGCATGGCGGAGCGGCAGGCTGGGCCCGAGCCAGGGGGCCGGGGAGGCCTTTGGAGGAGGAGATGGAGGGCGCCGCGGCCCAGCTCTGGCCGCGTCCTGCGCTGCCACAGCAACGGCGCGCAGGGCAGGGACACAGGAGGGAGGCGGGGCGGGCAGGCGGGGCCGCGCGCCAGAGGCAGTCCAGCACCCGGCCTGCCAGCCTCTCCGCTTCGCCACTCACCACAAAAAGACCCAGCTGGAGGGAGAATAAGTGGCTCCCTCGCCCAGCTTCTCTTGTAAAGTAGGATTCCGCACTTACCGTAACCCCCAGTTCAGCCAGCGCTCCTCAAACTTTAACTTGCGTATCATCCGCTGGGCATCTTGTTCAAATGCAGATCCTTGTTAAATAGGTGTGGGGCTGGCCCCCAAATACCACAAATGTAAAAAACTACTAGGTGATGGCCCTCGCTGGCCACGTAACACACTTGCAAGGGTGGAAGCTGCCGTTTCTCCACCTCCTTTCCAGCAGGTTCCCTGGAGAGCAGAGTAGGTGCTTTATAATCCTGTTTCGGAATACTAGTGCACCTTCAAAACCCCTGAGGGAAAGCTAGAGATAAGGCCCTTGTTTGCATAGACAAATATGCATCTGACAAATTCAGTATTAAAGCTTAAGTGCCTCCAGGTGTAAGCATTTAGGGTCCTACATTCCCCCAAGATATCTCTTCTGCAGTCTTGTCTGTGCCTGGATCTTGCACTCCCTTGAGGGAGATGGTAAGCAGAAGGGCTTCTCCTCCACGCACTGAAGTAAAGAAGTGTCACCTGGAAAAGGAGTGGAGCCCTGGGAGGTTCACCCTTTTCTCCTGACAATCGAGATTTCGAAAATCAGCTGCAGATTACTTTGGAAAATACAGAGAGTCTGGAGGCTACTGATTCTCAGTAGTGGCTGCACATTAGAATTACCTGGGGAGCTTTTGAAAACCCAGATGTCCAGGCCACACTTAAGACAATTAAGCTGGAATCTCTGGAGGTGAGACCCAGACTTCCGGATTTTTTTAAGTTCCCAGGTAATTCCAATGCTCGCTCAGCCAAGGCTGATATTGGCTGCTCTAAGCAGGGTGATAACACTGGGAGCTGAGTGCTTGTAATGGGGAAGCAGCAGGAAGAAAGTGAGTCCCTGGGAAGAAGGGCAGAGTGGGAGGTAAAGCAGAAGGCTTTTTTTTTTTTTTTTTTTTAAAAAAAAAAAAAAAAAAAAAAAACAAGGCCATTATCATATAGAAAACAAGTTTGGAGTAGGGGAGTTGCAGAGGAAATTAAATTCATAGGGTTGTAGATCTAGTTCCAGCGTTCTAGTGCCTAAACAGTTCCATCACAGAGGCAGCAAACTCATTCTGTCCTCATTCCTGGTCACGCTTACAAAGTCGCAGAAAAAGCCATTTATAGCAGGAGTTTCTCGAGGTTCTTAGCTCAGATGGTTTGTAGCCCTAATCAAATCCCCATCAAACATAAAGCACTGTGCATCAGTTAAGCTAGGACTCTTACTGTTTAATGCTCTAACAGTAAGTACCCAAACTTCCAGGAAAAGCAAGGAAGAGCTTCACTTTTATCTGACTGCAGTGAGCTATTTCTTAGAGCAGAAGTGCAGCTGCTGCTAAACCCCATGCAGACTTCAGGTGGCTGTGCTCAGCAGTCGTTAGTGGGAAAAGAATGGGGCCCTTCACAGAATGAGTTGCAGTTCTGGAGTCAGCATCTTGTATTCACAGCTGTTAGGCAATCAACACAATTAGGGCTCACTGGCATTTTAAAAGCTCACCCAGAGCCATGGCAAAGAGGTCAAGCCAATAGCTACTCCTTAGGACCTTTGCAAACGGGCAAGTTGCCGTTTTTCAAGTTTCACTCAGGCCAGGAAGTCGAAAACAGTGGCTCTGAATTGTCCTGAAGATGGAAGTAATAAGAATTGTGTTTCTTTTCTTCAATAAGCTGTCTTATTCCAGGGCTGTAAAGGCTGGAGTGCCCTAGGGCTCTGTCTTTATGATCTATCCCCACACACTATCACATGCTTTATGTACTATCCAGAGCTCTGCAAATGATGTCACCAGCTCCAACCACTCCCCTGAACTCCAGATATTATGTTCAACTACCTCCCTGACATCTCTACTTGGCTGTCCAGTAAGCTTCTAAAACGCCTAAAATCATCATGATTTTCCAACCCAAACCTGTTCCTCTCAGAATGTTTCAAATCAGTAGTGTCATCAAAATCCTTGATATCATCCATGTCTCCTTTGTCTCATACCTTCAATCTACCAGCAAATCCTGTCCATGCCATCTAGCACATATAGTCCTTTCTGCCTGCTCTCATTCCAGTCTGCACTTCTGCACTTCTTAGCTGGACAACTTCAGGCTCTGTTCTCCCAACCCATCTCTCTGCTTTCCCTTTCCCCTATGCTGGCACCTGCAGCCCGGAGCTGATTTTCCATTTTGGAGTTACATTGTGCCTTTTAAAAGTAACGGGAGCATATAACCCTGCCTACAACCTTTCAATGACTTCCCATTATTCTTGGAATAAAGTCAAAATGCTTAGCAAGGTGAGAGGTCCTTCATATTCTGGCCCCTGGCTATGTCTCCAAGATAACCTACTAACATTTTCCTCTTGCTCACTCTCACAAAGCCTTCTTGCCAGTCCTCAAACACTCTGAGAATAGTCCCTTCTCAGAGCATTTGCTTTCGCTGTGCTGTCTGACAGGACTGCTTTTCCCCCCACCAGATGGCTCGTTCCTTTACTTTGCTCATTTTTCTCTTTAAAGACCATCACCTCAAAGAGGCAATTCTTAAGCACTCTCCATAATTCACCATCCTGAAAACCTGTGTATTCATTTCCTACTGCTGCTGTATCCAATTGCTAAATCCACAAATTTAGTGGCTTGAAACAAAATAAATGTATTATTTTACATTTCTGGAGTTCAGAAATCCAAAATCAGTTTCACAGGACTAAAAGTACCAGCAGGCCTGTATCCTTCTATAGGCTCTAAAAGAGAATATATCTCCTGTTTTCCAGCGGTTCCCAACATTTTTGGCACCAAGGACTGATTTTGTGGAAGACAGTTTTTCCACGAATGGAGGCAGGATTGAGGGATGGGCATTTTGAAGGCATTAGATTCTCATAAGGAGCACAGACCTAGATCCCTGCATATGCAGTTCACAGTAGGGTTCAGGCTCCTATGAGAATCTGATACTGTCACTGACCTGACAGGAGACTGGGCTCAGGTGATAATGCTTGCTTGGCCATCACTTGCCACGCACCTCCGGCCTGATTGCTAACAGGCCACAGACAGGTGCTGCTCTATGCCTCAGGGATTGGGGACCCCTGTTCTAGAGGCCACCTGTGGATTTTGTTGTGTTTGTTTTGGTTCATGTTCCTTTTTTCCATCTTCAAAACCAGCAATATAACATCTGTCCTCTTTGCTTCTACCCTGAAATCTTCTCTTTCCTCTGTCTTTGACCTTTGTCCCTTCATCTTACAAGAACTCTTAGAATTACATTGGGCCTGCCCAGATAATTCTTCATTATATTTGCAAAGTCTCTTTTGCTATGTAAGGTAACATATTCACAGGTTCTGGGAATTGAAACATGAACATCTTCAGGCTGCCATTAATCTCTCTATCATAACCTGCCTTATTATTCTTTACAGCACTTATTAATTCTTATTACATACTTCTTTATTATCTAGCTTTCCCACTGAGTTAGTGCACTTAATATCAGTACTGAAATATAGAGAACACTCAGTAAATTTTAAGTTATTGTTAGAATATAAGCTTCTTCAGGGCAGAGAATTTATTTCATTCACAATTGCATTTCCAGTATCTATCACAGTTCCTAGTACACAGTAAGTGCTCAATTAATATCTGAAAGAAGTAATGAACTTCTTCGACATTTATCTGTAACAATGATACAAAGATACCCCATCTTTTTCACTTTAGTTTCTGAAGATCAGTTTTCTTATTAGTGATTCATATAGATATTATACTAATGCATGAAAATTGCTTTCAAAAAACTTCCAGAAAGCTTCCTGAACATTGCTTTCTCTCCTTTGGCTGAAGCTTGGGTATTTGATTCCAGAGCATTAAACAGTACAAGTCCTAGTTTAAAAGGCACTTTGTTGCTTTAAGTTTGGAAGGGATTTGACTAGATCTGGAAATACAGTCTCCATCCCTGGTTCTTAAAAATCCAAGTCTCAGTAGAAGACCATAAAAAACATTTCGCTATTGTTAACATTGTTTTCAGGAGGGCTTTAAGTATGTTCTGAAAACAAATATCAAAATTTTCAAAAGAAGGGCAGCAAACCCCGAGGTTAGAGGCCAATGGGACAGACTCCAGAAGTCTGGGCCACCTTCTCAGGACCACAGATGGAGCCAGAAAAATTCACAGCGGACAGAGACATTCAGACCCACTGCAAAGAGGGCACCAGACAAGGAAGTCTAATTCCAGTCAGGACCAGCTGCCATGGATCTGAATTTTAACCAGTGGGTAATCTTATGGTAGTCCCTTTGATCTCCCTAAGTCTCTGCTGAATTAGAAGTTTGGAGTTTATGTGACAAATGATTGAGGGCTTTGGCTATAAAAATTATCATTATCATAGTTCTTTCTCAAACTCCAGTTTATATAATTTTTTTTTTAGGAACTTCTCACTGCAAGTGGAATAAAATCCAAACTTCTATTATGACCTGTGTTGACCAGTTCCTGCCCACCTGCTCAAACCCTCTCTCTTCTATTATTTTTGTCCTGTTAGTATGTGTCCCACCACAGTGGCCTTCATTCTGCTCTTCAGAGAAGCCAAGTTCATTCTTATTCAGGGCCTTTGCTGCTGCTGTCTACTCTTTTCACCGTGGAACAGTTTTCCCCATGGTATAGCTTCACATGGTGCTCAGGCCAACTTCATGTTACCTCAAAAGGTCTTCCCTGTCAAGCCATTCCAAAGTTAACACCTATTCAATATTATTTTCCTCACTGCACTTTATGCTGTGTAAAAGTATGTAGTTGATTTATATGTTTACTTATTTCAATCTCCTCTCTCATATCAGATTGGTACCTCAATGAGTCCAGTGATTTAATCTGCTTATATGTGGCTCTACCTCTTGTGCCTAAAACAGTGCGTTTATAT